GGGGCAGGCGCCGCCTTGGCGTTACCGAGAAGTCCATTTTCTCTAGTTTTTCCAATCAGGCCAAATCTGCTCCGGCAGGAAGTTCAAATGTCACCTAATTGCTTTCATTCTGATGCTGTATTTTCCTCCGAAGCGGTGGTCCAAGAAAACCAAACCCCCAAGATTTGCTTCTTTTATCCCTTCCACCTTCTTTCTGTTTCTCCGCCTGGAAACTGCGTCGCGTCTCCCAGCCGCTCGCTACGCTTTGCCGCAAAGAAAGGGACATTTTTTCCATTTCGGTCTCTGCCAGTGAACTAACAGTGAATGTGGTTAAAACAACAGTCTAAAATAACCTTCGCCTACAGCGATCTCTGTGTCCCACTCTTCCCTCCCAATTAGCGGAGGGGGGGGCCTGTGATTTCTGTTTTCATTGCGTTTTAACGGCAACAATCCGGTTCCAGCAGCACTTCAAATGCAAATTGATCCTTTAGGCATTGCAGAATAATTTTTTCTTTTCGCAAAAAGGTGGTATTTTTTTCAAGCAACACACACACACACACAAGTGTGTTTTATTTATATTCATACATAAAAAAATACATGTTTTGTCCTTCTTTGCCCTTTACTTGACGATATAAACTTCATCCTCAGACCACACTGGCACAAACAACTGTGTTTCTGACTCGACTTTAACAAATACACGCCTGGCAATCTCCGCTCTGTGCTGGGGAGAGGTAGTGTTGGCAATGAACATTAAAAAGAATGAGAACATTACAATCACATGAGAAATGGAGGGTTTTTTTAGTGAGTTCCTCTTTTATTAACACCACATTGGCAGGCAGGCGGGCCTCTGACGGTACTGCCGGGTGCCTCGGTATCTGCCCTGTCTCCCTCAGACCTCGGAGCTGCACACATCTTTCTGCAGTGTAAAATCTCCCCCCTCCCCTTCCCAGCAGAGAGCCCGGGCTGCTGAGCGGCCGATGCCGCAGATGGGGGCTGCTCGCCCTTGATTTATAGGATAAACTGACCTTGCTGACACGGAAAGGAAGCCCCTATTCATGGGAAAGTGTGAGATCAGCAGAAAAGTGCGCTCACCGAGAGAGCTCAATTTCTTAAGACAACTTCAGATTTGTGCCTTTCCCCAGCCCGGCGAGGGGCCGAGCGAGGTGGTGTCGCGGGGAAGCCCGCTCCCACGGCGGCTCCGGCGGGCCCGCGGCCCC